TTTCAAGAAACAGTTTTCTCTAATTTTTACCCAAGGAAATTTTACTTAAACCTAGGTCTTTTAGAAAATATTAGAACAAGCAAACTAAACATTGATAAAATAATAAAACATTCCCAATTAAAGGGGGGGCCAGGGTTTTTATTTATCATTCACAGGCACTAGAAGAGATGTCAGAAATTTCAGTAACTTCATTATATAGATGGTGAGACTCAGACATGTGAAGTAACTTCTCCAAAGTAACACTGCTATTTAGTGACAGAATCTTAACTAGAAACTTACTAGTTCTTTTTATAGGATGTATTTGTGTACTTACCCTTTAAATTTTTCTCTCACGCTTTTCTCTGAAACTAGGTGGCAGGATATATATATAAATAAAACACCATTGCCCATTTATACTTATTAGCATTCTCTTGGCTGTAAGTAGCAGAAACCAATTAGCAAACCAATCTGGCCCAAAAAGCAGTTAGGGTGGGAGAAGAATTTTGAAAGGATCCTAGAATTTTTCCCTAATCCAAAGAAGAGTTAAATGATCAGCCATGCCTAGGAAAAGAAAGATAAAAACAGTATTTCCAAGGTCTTCGGTAGGATGAGCTTGTGTGGCTTCTCTTCAGATTGCTAGCAAGACCATGTCCTTCCAGTGGCTTGTGGTATGAGTCTCTTAGTTGAAAATTCCAAGTATGGCCATTGCTCAGGCTGTTCCCACCCCCTTCTGTGCTCTTCCTTCTCAGCCCCACCACTACCACTTTATCTAAATCCTGCCTGGTTTTTAAGGTCCAACACAAACTTAGCTTTCTCCATCAAAGCTCTTCTTGATCCCCAACTAGACAGAATGTCTTTATGCGTGTATTTAATCCCAGGGCCCTCTACATGTCTTGGTTTTATAACACTTGGAATCTCAACTTGTATTCTCCTTTGTACAGTAGAATCCTGTAGGTCATATGGAAGGACTAGAAGTTGGTCAGTTAAATTAACAGGTAAGAAATCATTTAAAAATTTTATCAAGCCAGATGCAGTGGTGCACACCTATAATCCCAGCTACTCAGAAGGCTGAGGCAGGAGGATCACAAGCCTGAGTCCAGCCTTGGCAACATAGCATTCTGTCTAAAATAAAATTTCAAAAAGACTGAGGATTTAGCTTAGTGATAGAGCATTTTTTCTGTATGTGTGAGGCCTTGGATTCATTCCCCGCTTACCCCCACCCCCCCACACATATACAAAAGATATCAGTATGTTTTTCTACCTGCTTCAGATAGTTTATCTTAAAACTTATAAATGTACATTTAGCTGCTATGCACAGGTAAGATAAGGCATTTGTCTTGAACATAGGATGCTTATTGACCACCTGCTTTCTTTCTTCTGGATATCAAACCCATAATTTGGCTAGATTTTCCGTTTGAGTTTCTTTCAAAAAAGGATTAAGAATTTAGACCCTGGGAAACAAGTATGTATTTTATGTATGTGTGTGTGTATACATGTGTGTGTGTATTTGATGCACAAATCCTGCTAGATTTATGTGCTTGTCTTCCAGTCTGCAGTTGTCTCACCCTTACCTAATTTAACAGTATTTTTTTAACAACTTACCTTTATATCAGCTCTTACCAATGCATTCAGTCTAGTTTTCATAGAAACATCTTCCCCTTTTTAGACCCATTATTTGAGTTTATGTAATACATAATCAGATTGTGTAATTATAAAACTAGCAGCAACAAGTTCTAGCAGAGTTTGAGCAGAAGTGTGTGGGAGTACTAGAGATGAACCTGCTACCCACTAGTGTATAGTGAGTTGTGGGCATCTGCCACTGTATTTAATGGTGGGGAATTGAGATTCTTTACTAATCTGGAAGTTGATTAAATGGAGATGTATCAAAAGTGTTTCTGTTGTATTAAATATACCTGTCTCGTGATCTACTTAGACCTATAGCACTCACAGTGTGGCTGGGAACTGCTAGATAGAGGGGTTCCTGTGATCCTTTCAAGGGGTCTATGAGATCAAAACTATTTTAATAATACCACTAAACCTTTTTGCTTTTTTCACTCTCATTCTCCAAAAATTTCTTATTTGCCAATGTGATATTGGTAGTTTAAACTACCAACTATTGGTAGTTAAAACTTACAAAAGTGAAAATTATTTTAGGATTTCTATACTTTAAAAAATGTAAATCTATTCATTTATGTATGTGGGGTTTTTTTGTAATTGACAAATAAAACTTGTATGCATTTATAGTCAACAGGATGTTTTGATATGTGTATATGCCATGAAATGGTAAATAAAGCTATGTTTATTAAGATATATGCTACAGAGAATACATGTTTAAGAATGGCCACACTCAGCTATGCACTCCTTGAGGGCAAATGCCATGTTTTGCTTATCTTTGTTTCTTCTGATGTGCTTTGAATGATCTTTTACATAATAGGCACTTGGGAAGTAGTTCATAAATGTGTGAGAATAAACTGGATTATTTTTCAAATATTTTTGGTCTTTCAAATTGGTCCAACAAAGTAGTTTTAAGTAAGGTTCCTGTATTAATGAATGGGATATATAATTAACAACAGTGGTATGCAAGTGGAAGCTTTTAAAATAAAAGTTTCCCTTGAAACTTAAGCAATGTTTTGAATCAGAAGCATAGCATGGTTTAGTGAAAAAAATATGAGAATCTGTTCCTGTAGGTTTTAGAAAGTATGTGTTGGCTTTTAAAAAGAGCAGGCAAATCACACTTAGGGGCTATATCATAAGTAAATGGGCCTTTTAAGTTTATTTAAGGAGAGAAGGGGCAAGGGAAGCAAACAAATGTGGGGTTATTTAAGAACAGCCAGTTGGTCAGAAAATTCATGGCTGATGATTAAGGCTTTCCTCTTTACTTGAGTAGCAGTTGGAAGCTAGCTAAGATTTGAAAAGAAGACATGATGGACAGAAAATTATGGTTTGAGGCGATGAATTTTATTGCTTTACAGGAGTGACCTGTAAAGGTCTGACTAAAGAATAGTGAGGAGAGTAGTAATCAAGTTGAAATGGGCAGGTGCTTTGAACCTGCTTTCTACCTTTCAGGTGTCATACAGAGAAGGTTGGCTATAGAAAACTTGAACTAAAAATTAAATTCAGCCTGTCCACCTGGAGTAGATACTGCTGAATAAGTGGGGAACATTTACAAGTGGTATTAAGAGATAGCTCTTTCAGTATTCAACATTAGTAAATACTTGGATTTGTGATTAAATTACTTTCAGCAATGGTATTTTAAAATATTAATTTATGTCCCAATACTAGATTTTTTTCTCATAAATTTTATACACTTTTACATTAAAATTTTTCCCAATCTTGATGATATTTTTATGCCTGAGACTTTTTCTTAATAGAATTTTCAGCTTTAATGAAGAGACAAACTTGAATATAAGATTTGTTTTTGCTTTAAAAGAAAATTCAAATTTTAATCTTATTAAATTCACTCATGAGAGGAAATTATTTTTAGTTTTTTAAATTTAATACAAAAATTTGATGGCTTTTTAATTATTTCCTTCCGGGCATGTTTTGGTATAAGGTAGGCATGCTGCTGCTCGTCATTGCTTTCTCCAGCCATCTCATGACCTGCACTTGAGATTTATTGCATATGTTGCCTTGAGAGACCCTAGAAGTATTGAATACACACAATTACTAGCAATTAGTTTTTAGGAGCTGTAGTACAGAATCCCTTGTATTTTGGAGACAAAAATCAAGAACAGTCCCTAGAGGAAAGATCTTCTAATAAAAATCACGCAGGTATAAATCTGTATGCATTCTGCATTTTGTTCAGTGCCGTCTACTTCAGTGAATTGTATGTGTCTTGAAGACAGTTCTGTATCTTAATCATTGGTTTTACAATGCCTAGATGGTTCCCTTTGTGTGGTAAACATTTAGCTAATGTTAGTGGAATGAAAGAAGTCATTCATGCTAAAGTGATGAATCATAAATGCATTCCTGATTAGCCAGGGGATTTCCTGAATCTCTTCTTAAAACCCAGGTGAATTCTCTTAGAAATATGATTGAACCAAAACTGTTTGTAACCATGGTCATACATTTCCAGGTTATAGTAAAGCTGGTGTCAGTGAGACATTCATATACATATTATATAATAGGTAAGGTCTATCTTGTGACTGTATCAAAATGCTGAGTCCAATAGGTTCACTGTAGGTGCTAGCTCTTGTTTCTTTTTCCTGTTACCCCATGTGATTTTTTTAAAATATTTTTTTTAGTTGTAGATAGTTACAATACCTTTATTTATTTTATTTTTATTTTATTTTTTTATATGATGCTGAGAATTGAACCCAGTGCCTCATACATATGAGGCAAGCACTCTGCCACTGAGCTACAATCCCAGCTCTGCCCCTATGTCAGGATCACTGTAAGCATTACTAGTGGTATAGGAAATTGTCTTTCTCTTTGGGCAAGTATTCCTAACGGATTAACTTTTGACCACACTCAAATTTATAATTCTGCTGGGAAAAAGAAGTCAGAACAACAGGCAGGCTAAATTGGTACACAATATAACCTAGACAGTGACCCGCCCACTTTTACAGTATCTTGCAGACTGGCTTTTCTAGACACAGCTCATTCTAGAATTTCATTTTATTTTCACGCGCGCAGCGCGCGCACACACACACACACCTTTGATATAGTGGTTTAGACTAGCAGTTTTCACATAAGTTACTTCTTTGCCAAAGATAATAGCCTCCCTGCCCTTCAAAAAGTTTTTATTTGATTTTATGCCCTTTTAAGTCACTTTATTTAGAAAGAACTAAGTTTATAAAAGCTGTTATTGGCAAGGGGCTACAGCAGCTCAAGAAACAAATGTGACATGAGTCAAGTTTCCTACTAGCTGGAATAAGGTTTTTCTCTATTCTGACTAGTGATACGGCTGTAAACTTTATAGTTTCCCTGATTTTTACTGTGAATTATATTTGATTTTATATTACATCATTGAAAATGATGAATGTTATCTCTGAATACATTTTTTCCCCCTTTCATTCAAGATAAACTCTCACTGGAAGGAATAGTGGTACAAAGAGCCGAATGCCGACCTGCTGCCAGTGAAAACTACATGAGATTAAAGAGGTAGTGTTTTGTAACTTGAAATGATTCAATTTAAAATGTTTAGATTGCCTTCTGACTACATGAAAACCACAATTATTGTTGCAGATGTTTGCTTCAAAGACTGTTTGGTTTTAAAACCAAATAAGAGTGTTTTTGGTACTAGGGAACTTCCAGAACCTGGGTTGTTTGTTTGAGGTACTTTAAGCTACTGTGTTAATATATTATGGAATCAGAGTTTTTAGAGTACTTTTTCTCGTTGTCCTTTTAAATTCTGATTCTCTAAAGACATGTAATAAGTCTTTTGCACTATTTTATTTTCTAAGGCTATAATTTTCCTAGTATGTATGTATAGATATATACACATACACATATATACACACAGAGAAATATATATATCTAGATACCATACTGTATAAAGCAAGTATAGTTGCTGAAGTATAATTTTTTTCTTCATCTATAGAGAACTTTTTTTTTTTAAACAAACTTGTGTACTCTTAAGAGATTTTGTTTCAGAATCCTGCCCCGCAACTTTTGTGTGTATGTAGCATTTGTAATTTATGTTTAAAGAAGATGATTGCAGATTCTTAATATTTCGGGTATTATGACTTTGAAATAGTTAACAATTTTCTAAACCCTGAAATGTATTATATATACCTGCTTTGTAATTTTATTTGTGGTATGTCAGTCCCATGAGATTTAGAATTATAAGTTCACTTGTTTGTTCATTCAGCATTTACTGTCTACCAGGTGCTTTCTTAGTTAGGAGCTGGAGAAACAGTAGTGCACCGAACAGCCAATAGTCTCTGCCCTGGCAGAGCCTCCACTTCAGTGGACTGAGCTGCACCATCTGTTTAGTGGTTGAGCATCCTGCTCAGTGGCAGCAGCAGCCTCTTGGATGTCAGCATTTTCATTTTTGAAAGAGGATGGGTTGATGAACCTGATCATGTCTAAAATTTTACATCATCTTTTAAATTTCCCCCCTTTTCTCAATTAGATTGAACCTGTGTCTCCTGGGAATGGCACAGAGAGAGACTGGTTTCTTATCTATTTATTCTTCTAATTTATATGCTTTCCCAGAGCAAATGAAAAAGGATGACAATCAAAATGAAACATTTTATAACAGAGAATAGCTTTGGAAAACAAAATATGTTTCATTCTTTGTTTTAGTAAAGTTTATCATATGATACTTTTTGAAGACTTATCATCTTCAAACAACTACTGAAATAGGAAAAAACCCACAAAATGTGGTTACTGAGCTGCTCGCCAATATGTTTTTCTGTGATCTTCATTTCTTTTAAAGGGTTTCTAAAGATTTCTGATGATAAAAGCAGGCAAATAACCTGCTGTGTTTGTAAAATGGCTGCTTTTTTCTTACTAAAATGGAAATGAAAATAATTCAGCCTTTTAAGTGTGCTAGAAGTCCAACCATTATATATTTTAGTCCTTCCTTAAAGTGACTTAGGAAAGGAAGCAGGGTGATTCAGGAGGTGATGACCATCTGAGTTTCATGAAGTAGATGATAGATGATGACATCAGTCTTGAAGGCTGAGATTTTTTTTTTTTTTAACCACGTGAAAAAACAGGAGTAAAGAATATTTAATGTAAAACAACATGCAGGGGCTGCGGTTGTGGCACAGTAGTAGAGTACTTGCCTTGCACATGTGAGGCACTGGGTTTGATCCTCAGTACCACATAAAAATGAATAAGTGAAATAAAGGTATTGAGAAAATAAAAATAAAACAACATGCAGACACAAAGACATGACATGAAGAATAATAGTTCAGGGATCTGTGTGTCATTGTGTAAATCTGGAATGCAGCATTTGTAAAAGACAATAGAAGCTTCAGCCCAGGTTTCTCTCTTGAATGCTAGACGTGTATATGAAAACCTGGGTGAATGTCCAATAAGCATTTCAACTATGTAAGTAACTGAACTCCAGATCTGCCCCACCAAAACCTGATCACAAACAGTCTCTCATCTCAGATAATTCCAAGTTTATCCTCTCATTTCCACAGTCAGAAAACTTTGGTCACATCTTGACTTCTCTCTTATCCCATTTTCAGTGTGTCAGAAAAATCTCATTGACTATACTTTCAAAATATTACACTCTGGAGTCTGGAAGTTTCTTATAACCCACAGGTGCTTCCATTATTTATCATGGATTACTACAGTCACCTGCACCAGAGTTTCTCCTCCTATCTTTGTCCCTCAATAGCCTATTCTCTGCGCAGTACACAGAGGAGGATCAGTTGTTTAAAATCAGTCAGATCATGCCATTCCTCTGCTCATATCATTTGCAGTGCTTCCTGTGTAAAATCCAAGGCTTTGTAATAATGGTCAGCAGGGGCCTGGATGGTCACCCTACCACTGCCTATACTTTTTCTCTCTGTCCTCCCCTTTTTCCCTCCTTCTCCTTCGCTGTGTTCTAATCTCCTAACGTCCTTGAGCACTCTAGACATGGTTTTAATTGGGTCCTTTGCAATGGCTGTTCTTTTCTGCCCGGAGAAGCCTTTCTCCAAATGACTGCATGGATCCTCACTTTCCAAGTTTCTTCTTAAATACACCTTTTTACTAAGACCTACTTTGGCTACCCTACCTCCTTCTGTACCTGTATTTTCTTCATATCATCTCCTGTAAAACTGTGTAGTTTACATGTATTTATTGCCAGCCCCTCCCTGCTACAGTTAAAGAGAGCAGGATTTTTTGGTGATTGTTTTTTGGCTTTAGTTTTTGGTACATGTTATTTAGTTCACTCACACACATATCTGGAATACTTATGGCACATAATAAATAGTAAATACTGGATGAATGAATGAATAGCAAAAGATAAGTTTTAAAATGTTAAGGAGTTTTATGTAAGAAATTCAGAATTTGTGTACTGTAGCTATTATGGAGGTACAGAAAACTTTTAAGCTGAATGGGATGTGAAAGGATTTGTGTTTTCCACAGATAATTCTGACCATAGTATAAAGACTAGAAGCAGGGAGATAAGCTAGATGCTGATGAAATAACCCAGGTACGAAATTTTTGAAGGACAAAACAACATGGTTCCAGTCAGAAGGAAGATGAGAAACTAGGTTTTGTGGATATTTAGAGGTGGAGTTAGTAGTATTTAACTCAAATTTTTATAGTTGTAGGCTGGAGGATTTCTCTAGCTGAAGGCGGCTCTTATGGCCTAGGTACATATCAGGCTATGACTATCCCAGATGGGCACCCTACCATCCTATACATTGCATAAGAAGGTTTATACCAATGAGAGAGGAGAGATATGGAAGTTTTTGTGGTTTCATTTTTTAAAAAAATATTTTTGTAGATATAGATGAACATAATACCTTTATTTTATTTGTTTATTTGTATATGATGCCAGGGATCGAACCTATTGCCTCACACATGCTAGGCAAGCGCTCTAACACTGAGCCACAACCCCAGTCCCTCCATGTTTATTTTAATTTAAATCCTAGTTGGCAATATACCTAAAAGACCTGAAGCAGAAAGTACTTAGAGTTACAATAAAACACTAATGATTAAACTCTCAAAAGAGCAAAATAATGTTATAAGTTGTATCTCATGTATTTTATTTATAACTGCTCAACATTTTTTAATATATACTGTGATGGCTAAGGTAAAGCTCAAATTTTTTAAATTTCTTTTAAAAAAATCGCAAGATACTATTTTTTCTCTAGAGGGTTTACGGTTGTTGAACCAGACAAACACACATACACAGGGTTTTTAAAGGAATCTACTTATCTGATGCTAGAGTGGGTAGAGGAGTAGAAATTTCCCGCTGCCATTGAATGTAAGATGTAAAGGCAGATTTCTAGATGTAGGTAACATTAAAGTAGAAGTGTTTGAGAGAACAGAATTGGCAAGTTAGTACTTGAGATATCATATCCCTAAATATTTCACACCTATGCTCAAAGTTTTTCAAGGACTCTTATGACTGCCTTCTCCTTAATGATATTCAAGTGTTTTTAATAATCTGGCACTTGCCTCATTTTCTGGCTTCATTTTTCAGCTATTTCCCTTTATGTAGACATAAAAGAGTTGTATCACACTTGGAGTCGTTATCCTAGATATGCAAGGCACTTTTCCATCTCATACCTTTGTTTTTTCGTGCTTCATTCTCCACCCAGAACTTCTGATCTACCTCTGCTAAGATCTTTTTTCGTCTTTAAAACCAATCCATGTTGGGATGTGTGAGATCTTTGGGTAAATCCTCTAATCTCCTGTAGCAGAGTACTTGCCCAGCATGCACCAGGTCCTGGGTCAACTCCCAACACCACCAAACAACAACAACAAAAAACACCTAGGTGTCACTCAGCAAAACCATCTCCTAGTTTGCATTGCCCTATCCATTAGGACCCACCATTCCTCTTTTCTACATTCTTGTTTTTGGTACCGGGGATTGAACTAGGGGTGCTTAACCACTGAGCAACATCCCCAGCCCTTTTATTTTTTAATTTTAAGGCAGGGTCTCACTAAGTTGCTGAGGCTGGCCTTGAACTTGTGATTCTCCTGCCTCAGCCTCCCAAGCCTCTGGAATTACATACGTGTGTCACCATGCCCAGTCCTTTTTTCAATACTCTTACGTACTTACTCTTCTTTGATGGTGTATATAAATAATGTCTTATGTTTTCTCTTGTTTAGGGAGTTTAAGTTGTATCTTCTGTAAGATTATAAGTATCATAAGAGCAGAGACTGTGATATTTTTTCCTTCTTTCTGTTCTCTCTCCCTCTTTCCTTCCTTTCTTTTTGTATTCTCTATGATAGTGCATTACAAATAATAAATATCCAAAAATATTTTTGGATTGAAATTATTTAAAGTAGAAAGAAATGGCAAAACTATATATGAAAAGATGGAAATCATTGGTATTCAGCTTCTGAGTTTTTTCCAAAGAACTACTCTTGAAAGCTATGATTTTTTTCAGTTTTATACATATAAATATGTGTATGTATACAATACACACACCCCTTGCTCCTTGAAGAGGAGAAGGGGATTAAAAAATAAATGTAGGAACATT